TCTTGTACATGGTAATTGTTGTAGATGCATAAATATGTAGCTCAGACTCAAGTTTTCAAACTGTATATACAAAGCCTCAAGTCTTGTAAGAATTTAATATGCTGGGAGTAGTCTTGAGTCTCTTTAGGATTGGAGCCTTGAATGGGACTGCTCACAGACCATAAAACATGAAAGGGCAGGAATAGGGATGAGGAAAGGGCCCTAATTCCACTAGCATTTGTGTCAGACCTTAGAATCTGAAGACCACTTAAAGCAGTGGCTTCTAAACAGGTTGTGAAGATCTCTGCAAAGCCTCCACAACCACAAGTGGCCCTATGAAAGTGGACAGAATTATGCTTCCAGTATTTATACCATTTGTACAGCATTTTGTGCTTTTTAGTGTCTCAAAGAGCTGCAACTGGGAGCTTGGAAACCACTACCAACACACAAAAAATTGTCGAGGGGAGACGCGCAAAGGGAAATGAAATGTAGTGATAGCAACTGCTTGTTTTGCTGCGGTTGTTTTTTAATAATAACTGGTGGTTTGCACCATATGACAAGAAATTTGCTGATCCAAAATATCTTACTAACCAGTGCTTCCTGTGCTGTGCAGCAAAAGAACTGTCAACACAAACAGTAGCTGATAAATTTACTTTTGATTTTAAACATGATCTTACAGTGTACTGTACTCTGGTGGTAGATGAGAAAAACATTTCTGTCCCTAGGGCTCAGTGCCTCACCTTTTAAGAATGTTTCTGAATCCATGCTTGCAAAATTTCATTTTAAGCTCTTGTTAATTATTTACATCATAATTTCCTTTATCTTATTCTTCTGATGTGCATACTGACTCATTTTTATTGCCTGAGTTTTTGGAATGCAGCATGTTCCCTTCTAATAATAATAGTGGAACTTATTTAGAGCTTTGCATCTTAGTGCTTTATAAATATTAACTAAATAATCCCCAGCTCGAACACAGAGGCAGGTAAATAGGTCTGTTCCCTGCTTATACTTTGGGACACAGGCAACACAGGCCTGCTCCAAGACCACACGCAAGAGAGGTCAGAGCCAGAAGGGGAAATAGAGACTTCCTACCTCCAGATCTCTTTGTCCTTGCCGAGGCTGGGTTTGACAGGGTGACATTAGGCACTCCCAGCCAAGGCATTCTGTTGTAATGTTTGCAAGTTTGACGAGACTTCAGTGCATGCTGAGGTCAGATCAGCAGTGAGATATTTCCATACTTAGCTAAAATGCTCTCCTTCTCCTTGATTCCCCCATCCCTTCATCTAGCTATTGCTAGAGATTTGCAGTCCTTTTTGGGCAGCAGCTGCTGTTGCTGGCAGAGCTCTGGCACATTTGCCCTCATCTGGCGCTTTTCTCACTTTGCCCTTGCTACAGTTCTGGCTAAGCTGGTCAAGTTAATCCTATACCATGTCACCTACTTAGCATTTTGTCTTGTCTGCACTTGACTCATGGAGCATGTTCATTAAAATTTGTCGGCTAAACCACACCGATGTTGTATCATCACCGCTTTCAGTCAGACAAAGCCAGGGTATTCTTTTCATTCTTTCTTTTTTTTTCCTTCCTTTTTGTTCTTTAAACTTACTAAGCCCTTGTTTATAGCTTTGCAATTCCCCCCCGCCCCCGGGATTTTCTTGGTAACAAAATATGAGCAAGAATTCATGTACAAAAAAATGCTGTTCTTTGTCTTGCAGCAGCAGCAGCAGCAACAACAGCAACAGCAGCAGCAACAGCAACAACAACCAGGTCCCAGACTACCCCCAAGGCAACCGACAGTAGCATCACCAGCTGAATCTGAGGATGAAAATCGTCAGAAACCCCGACCGCGAACAAAGATTTCTGTTGAGGCCCTGGGGATCCTACAGAGTTTCATACAAGACGTAGGCCTGTATCCAGATGAAGAAGCAATCCAGACTCTCTCCGCTCAGCTTGACCTGCCCAAGTACACCATTATCAAGTTCTTTCAGAACCAGCGATACTATCTCAAGCACCATGGGAAGCTGAAGGACAATTCTGGTTTGGAGGTGGATGTTGCAGAATACAAGGAAGAAGAGCTGCTCAAGGATTTGGAAGACAGCATCCAAGACAAAAATGCAAACACGCTTTTTTCAGTTAAACTAGAAGAAGAGTTATCAGTAGAAGGGAACACAGAGATTAATGCCGAATTGAAAGACTGATCTAAAAGTATTATTTTCTTTCAACAGTGCCACTGGTATTTACTAATGAAATGAAAATTCCATCTTGCGTTCTGTCAAAAACCTTTATTATTCATTGTTTGGCCAATGAATCTTCCAAAACTTGCACAAAAGTTGAAAAAAGGATAATGCAGACTGCACTAGATGTTTTACTCTGTTTTACAAACTGCTTCGCAGCAACAGATGAAGCGTTGAGGATTGTTTGATATTAATTTGTGTTCACTGGATACACTGTGAGTGTACCCAATAAGCATGATACCAGTGATTTTGATTCTGGAGCCTTCAGACAAGCATTACAACTTTTGTGATTTACTGTTTTTTTTGTTTCTGTTTTGTTCTTGTTTTTTAATTATTACTGTAGCACTCCACACTTGATCTTTGGAAACTCACATTTATTTAAAAAAATAAAATAAAAAGAGTTTGTTACTCTTGTTCTATTGTATGTTACAAAAGAACTATAGACTGTGGAATGCAGTTTAAAGATAACATATGCCAACAAATGCCTTGTATTATATGGCACTGCCGTAATTCAGATTTGTTTTCTTTTGGAAATAAAGGTCACTGTATTTTTTTTTCCATTCTCATTGTTACATGGTTTTAAAGAAAATGAAAAAGAAAATGTGAAACACAATTTAGTCCTCATTATTTATTTGTAGATCCTGCAGCATCATGTTGTAATTAATTTTTTTGGAAGTTTCCGTTAAATGTAATATTGCTTCTCTTGTTATCATACTGATTTTTTTTTCTATTTATAAATGTATTTTGATGGGCAGTAAAACAAAGTGTCTTAAAAGTTTTAAATAGAGAAAATGTGCTTTACACAGTTGCCTATAAAAAGTGCTCTATGTTATCCAAGCAATTCATACTATAAGCTTCACTCTTATTGTTGTATGCAATTTTTACTATCATGCAAATAAGCTTAGGTAAATAAAACTAATAGATCACCTTAGAAACTTATGCAATTAATGTGAAAATAATTGATGTTTGCAATGTGTCTTCCTTTGGTTTACAATCAATTTTAAAGCTACAGCTGTATAAATTTTCTGTATAAAGGTGTATTTCTTTTTTATGAGTTTATTGCTATGAAAACACCAGTTATTTTGTTACAGCTGGCTGTTTTTATAAGTGTATCACAATTTTCTTTATGCAGAAATGTTCTGACTAGGAGTGGTTATTGACTGTAACTACACAATTAAAATTGTTTGTATGGTATGATATGGCAGGGTTTGTCTGCGTATGTGTATATCTGGGAGGAAAAACCTGTTCCTAGTGCACATCATACTTTCTTGCCACCACTTTGAAGATGACATTTCAATTGTTCTCCTTTAAAATCACAGGCAGATTTTTTTAATGACCTTCTTAAAATTTGAATTTAGATAACATACTTCAAAAAGAAACCTGGTTTGGTTATGAAAATCATAACCTGTCTTTTCTTGGTTTCAAAACTTGCCTGCCCAACAGAGATAGCAGGATATTATTGAGTCAGAAGGCTATCAGGCATAAACATATTTACAGTTCCTGGCAGTAATGCACTTATAATGGATACAGCTGGTTTTATTTTACACTAGAATTATGCTAACACTGTTCCTTGCACTAATGTATAAACATTAAAAAAAACCATTAATAGTCATAAATAGGAAGGATGGGCTTTTCCCACAGCAGTCCCCTTCTAAGCAAGATTATTTTTAATGATCATTAATAAGGTTCTTGATAAAGTCATAATAATTGGTGACCTCTGAATTTATGCAAGGCTCATGTCTAGGCTAAAGAGCAGTCTGCAGCTGAAAGCTGTGAAGTACACACTGTTGTTCTCCTAGGAGAGAAACAGCATATAACCCGTGTGACTTGGGACTGGAATTCAGCTCAGTTCTGAAATTACTAAAAGTTTACAAAACTCAACATGAGTTTCAAAGACACAAATGACTGTTAGGTTGCAGAAAATGTCTTTGTTTAATTCTGTTAACTTCTTTAGGAATATCCATATTAGGCAACAAAGCAGGTTTTCATTTAAAACTGACGCAGGTTGTCCTTTTTCTCAGTGCTCATGTGGGTCCATTGAGCGGCTCCCAGCTGCAGCACCTCTTGACTGCTCCCAGGACTGTGTTGGAGCTGTACCATGATTTGGGCTTGGGAACCAGTCCAGTTAAAAGAAAAGAGCCTTAAAACCACTCTGGGAGGGAAAGAAGCCTTAGGAGGGACACATACATGTAATTTGGCGTTGCATTCCAATAAAAAGACAAACTGTACCCGCACTTAAGGGACTTGTAGTAGCCCAAAGCTATGCTGGTTGGAAAAGGGCAAAATTAATTCCTAGTCCACAGACGTCACTGTGATCAACATTGTATTTCTTCCCTCATTTCAAATGGGATCACTGCTTTGCACAGCCATGCAGCCATTCGGAGCTGGGACAGATCCTTGTTCACAGCCGAGGAGCAGGCTAATACATATCCCAGGCAATGAAAGCTGATCTGATGTGCAGGACAATACCAGTGGCACCCTTGGGTACACTTTTAAACTAGCAGTGTGTGCATAGGTGGGGTAGGAGAGAAGCTGCAGGGAAGACTTTCTTGAAATATCCCTCTCTCCACACTAAATGCTAATACACACAGTACTCCTAATAGCAGAAACAGGGCAACCCTACAAAAGTATAAGAAGAAATGTTTATAAAATTGTCTTTGCTATTTTGCAAGCAATTTCCTTTTCTTTTATCCTTTTAAGTTTTATGGGTGCTGAAGTAGAGACCATGTGTGCTTGCAGATGGTTATTATAGCTGTTTCTTTTCCATTATCTTCGGTTTTCTTTCTCCTAGCGTAGCTGAGGTTATCTTCCAAGTAGTTCAGCCTCTGTAGTTGCACATTACCTGCGCAGGGGTTTGAATCATTGCCTTTCTGTGTCCCGGTGGGTGGGCTGTGAGTACAGTCTTTTAACTTGGCCTAAGTGACCAAAAGCACTTTTGTTAAATCCTTAGCAGTGTTTTCAAAGGTGTTATGGGTACTAAGGATTCCAGCTTTTTGTGAATGCGAGACATTTATACTGTTAGGAGTTAAGCTATGACAAGCATATGTCACCTTGACTCATGGTCCACTTAGACTACCTACCTTATATCCTGTTCTGTTCCTTTTTCTCACTGTCTGGTGGAATCCTACCAAAAAAAAATACAAAAAACATAACCAAAACAAAACGAAAAACCTACAAAAAAAACCAGAAAACAAAAATGCAAAACCAAAACCCATAACCACGACTTTCCATTTCTGCAAAGGTTAAAAAATCAGACTGGACGTTGGTAATGAAAAACAGAAATCAAGACATCAAAACACTATTAGTTGGGAAGTTGTTAGTAAAATTCACTGAGTAGGACTTCACTGAGGGTATGTAAAATGAGTATTTTGTATATACTTAGTATGAGGAATGAATATAACTTCCTAAGAATAGAATTTAAGCTGCAAAGAAAGCCAAATGCCTAAAAATGAGGGAAGCAAGTACTGAGAGGGGATGGCAGGACTTAGCTTTTGCTATAAAACTGATGTTACGTATTTACCATGTTTTATGGTGTTTACCATAAAAAGTAGAGTATTTTTACTTCCTGATAATTCCCATTAATCTATATTTAACAGACAAGATTTATATGTATATGCTAGAGATTCCAAGAAGTCCATGGCTTGGGGACAGTCTCACGCCCCAGTCACACATACAGAAGTTGCTTATCATTACAAAGAGTTGCTACCCTACAATTCAGTGGTTTAGATTTGTGTTTTGTATAGCTACCTTAAATTGGTCAGATGACACAGCAAAAACTGTCCATGTATTAAATTATTCTGCCTAATTTTTTCTTAAAGTTGGGAAGGTGCAGGAAATGGAGAAAGAGGGGAAGGTTCCTCCAAACCAGTGATTTTGTTGCAGTGAATTACTAGTTAATACTTTGGTTTTGTGCTGGGAAAGCAGCAGATATTACTAAGTTTTGCCAAAGCAAATGCCCCATATGTTAAGAGCAGTATAAATTAGATATTATAGAGGCTCTACTTGAACGTCAAGTATTACCAATTCTGCTTAGCTTATTGAACTTGTGCTTTGAAGTCAGGTACATTGCAGAGACCAAAGGTATTTTGATTTTTACATAATGATTTATATTGTGCTTTGAATAACAGTCCCACAGCAAAGCAGGGATATAAATATACTCCCAGGCCTTTTTTTGCACACAGAGGTAATTTAGGTTGGTCTCCTCACAGTGCCTTGCGTCCACACAGTCTTTTACTACAACAAATGAGCTAATAATTCAAACTGCAATAAGTGATCCTCCTTGGAGCAAGAGTAGTGCTACTTGGCAGTGAGTTTGTTTGCTTTCAGGTTCATACGGGAGCCCTCCTGCCCACTCTGCTGCTGGCAGCCCTCCCACTATCTCACACGGTATTGTTTCGCTTTGGTCTGACCCGGACGCTCTTCCTGCTCCAGGTCATCTTGCCCAAATGCCATCTCTCCTGGTCACATGCCAGCACTCAGGTATATGTGCCACAGTTTAATATGTGGCAGCAAGGACTGTGTGTGTCTGATATCACCTACCCTTTGTCATCACCATTTATGCTGTGACCCTGGCAGAGTTGCCAGAATAAGCCACTTGCATGGGAAAGAGAGTGATAACTGGAGCAAACCCAACAGGAGCCAGGTTGTTTCTGGGCTGATGGAGTAGAGGGGGCAAGGGAACGTGCATCGCAGAGGGGAGAAAGAAAAGGAAAGAGGGAAGTGCCAGATAAAGATTGGAGAATCAATAAGGTCACAACAGCTTCCCTTGCATGGGGGAACGAGCTCTTTTTGCAAGCTGTGCTACAGCAATACTTAAAGTACTACAGACTACTGCCAAGACTCCATAGAAAATGTTCTTGATCTAAAATGAACAATGGTCTCCAATTGTGGGATTTGCCTTGGCAGGTAGTATCTAGGGCAACACAAAAGTCTCAGCTGTCCATGGCAAAAGGTCCCCTAACAGTTTGTCCTCTGGTACTGTCCCTATGTGTAAGACATGCAGGATTCTTTTCAGCAGCTGCTGACATGTTACCATGGCAGATGCAGTTGGGACCCTCTCGGTAACTTGCTTACACACAAAATGTGTTAAAGTAGCATCCAGCCTTTAAACCCTCTCATTTTCTTCCAGGATTACATCTAACCACAAGCAGTATGTCTGCAGCCTCAAACCTACTTTTTGGAGCTGTCTCCTACAGTCCTACTTCTCCTCAGACCAGATGTGCCACAGGAGTTGAAAAAAAAAATGTGTAGTATGGATCAGATGTTTATCGTAGTGTAAGAGAACAGAAAAAAACATGACCTTTGTGGGTGCACAGAGTTGTATAAAGCACACACAGTTCAGAAGTTTGGAAGCAAGTAAGAAGCCTCAAGAGCCTTCAGAGAGAGATTTCATACTGATATAGTCAGTTGCAATGATTTGAAATTGTTGGAGCCAGAAAAGTTCATGCATAATCCTACTGAATTTGCAGAGGACTTTCTCCCAGAACAGAATTTAAAAAAAAAGGGCACTCTGTTTTGTTATTTGCATTACAAAATAAACAGTCTTTGCAGTACAAACCTTATTGCTCTTCCCCATCCACATTAAAGAAGGCCACTATCCTGATAACTACCAGCACTGCCCACAGCTGTGTCCCATCTTGCCTCATCTCGAGGAGGTTCCCCTGCACATAGCATGCCCCAAAACGGCTTAACTCTTCTTCACTCTCCCATCATCAACCTAAACATGGCCTTTCATCTGTAGTCAGTGTTTTCACCTGGGGAAAGCAATTTAAAAAACAACTTACGTTAGAGCAAACCAGGGCGGGGAAAGGTAAACTAGGCTGTCCTTTCACAAGTGAAGGAAAAATTATTCTTTATCATTATCAGCAGGCAGCTTGGACTGTGAAATAAGTGCAGGTGTTGGATTGCCTTAGTAGGCAAAATGCTATACCCCCAGTCTAATAAGGATTTAATATCAGCTGAGAGACTGAAGGAGGCAAAAAAGGAGGAAAGGTGAGAAAAAATATCTAGATAAAAACTCATTAGGGGCTGTCATACCCAGAGATGGCTGGAGAATTGCAAGACTAGTTTAAATTGAAGGACATCTGAGTTAGCCACCAGGAAAAACTAAGTCAGGACTACTTTGTGGTTCACATACTGCATGTCCTGCAAAAATGCAGAGAGTGAACACAGTAACAGACTTGCTTCAGAGGAAAGATTAAATAGAGAAAGCTTGTAAAAGGGTGGTGGCAGCTTGCTTCTTCAGCAAATACCTGCAAAATTGTAAGTGATGGCTACAAGGTGAATACAGAAAGCAAATTCAAAACTTCTTGTAAGACAACTAGAGCCAGTGTTGAAAATTATCAACCAGCAGGATTAAAAAACAGTAAAAAGGAGCATTTTTTCTGCACACTTAACAGCTGAACTCACTGCTATACATACCCCTTCATACCAAAAAGCACAAATAGCTTAAAAAAAAAATTCAAAGAAAATTGTGAAAACAAACGGTTAATGTGACCTTCTTTTGAACAGGCCAAGAATTGCTTTTTGCTCTTGTGCTGGGCAACCCACAACCCTGTGATGGCATCCCATGTGGACAGTGTCCAGCATCCAGTCAGTTGCTTTGAGTCCTCCATAGCCACAAGTGAGACAAATTTGAGTGGGCTGAAATTTGTTCTGTTTTCTTGGTCAGGTATGCTAAATGCAGTTTGTGTACTTTATTGTCTACATTGTTCATAATCAGATTTTAAAACAACTGATCTGAATAATTTCATTGAGGAGTAGGTCACCTCATATTTACAAAACATTCCCTCCCACACATGCCAGCATAAAAATTTAAAACCCAAATCATTTTGGTCATTGCCATACTACCAGTGCAGTTACTGTTCACAACTGTGCTCTACCTGCAGGAAGAGTAAAGTAAGGTTCCTTTGACCCCACTCACTGGCAAAACCGGGACATTTTTTATAATTTGGTACCACCTTTCTTTCAGCCTTCCCTGTGCACCTCTCACTATCATTCAGGTTTAGCTGACCTGTTCCTTTCTCTGCTTCAAAAGCCCACTGAAAAGGTTCACAGAGGATTAAAAAAAAAAAAAGTCGTATATACTTACATCATCACCTCATGAGACGTTGCTCCCAAGGTTTTTAGGATGTGTTACAGGATGGCTGGGAGACGAATCAGAGGAATGTACTGGTTTGATTCCACGTCTCCTCCAGTTGTCACTGGGCTTTCTGCAATTCTGGGGAGCCATGGGCAGAGGGATGATCACTGCTGGGGGTACCTCCCCAGGGCACCGCATAACATGAGCCTGACACCACTTGCAAGCACACTGTTGGACATAAAAAGCACCGTGGGAAAGCAGATCAAAGCAATGTGATTGCATTTCACGTTTGATGCAGCTCATTCCTGAAGCCAGGGTGAATAGCCTAATCCAATGTATCATTCCTGTGCAGGCAGACCCTCAGGCTGGCATCATGTCCCACAGAGCAGTGCTCCAGTGTGCAGCATCTGCCACCATCTGCCCTAGGGCTTGGCTTCGGATTGTCCTCCTCCTTTTCACCTCCTTTTGGGAGATGCTTTGCACAAACTTTGAAGGCCAAAACTCAGCCTGCTTCAAGCCCTTCAGGGCATTTATTCCCCTGCCACTTCTTGCACTACTTGATCTTTGATCCACACCCCTGACCTTTAAAGATTCAAAGGGGCAGATTTCCAGTGATTTAGCTTCAATTTCACTTGCTCTTATTTTTGGAAGTATAAGTCTTTCTGCTTAACCATTGCCTCCCCTGCTTAATCAATATGTCAGCTGTTGATCACAACCACTGCCAGATAGCCAGTAGATGGGACAATTATTCTCACAAGGACTTTTAAGCCCAGACTTTTAACCCACAAGGTCCAGCATGAAACTGCTGCAAGAGCTCTGAGTAGCAGCTGCCCCTTTTCTACTGCAGCTGCTGAGCCACTCTCCTAATAGTCTCTGGCTACTTTGCAACAGCAAGGGGAAAAACTACTTTGTTTTCTAGACATCATAATATAAAAGCTTAGCTTATTACTGCTGTAAGAAAGGAGGTGAAATGCCACAGCCAGCTCCAAAACAGCGTGGTTGTGATGTAGAGTAGTCTGGGGTAGTTCTTTCTACCTTGCACCCAGCCAGTAAATGAGTGAAAGGCACAAGACACAACAGGAAAGCTCTTCCCGCTTATCAGTTTTCACATCTGAGATTTTTGTAAAGAGGCATTGGGGCAGATATTTATACAACCTGGAGCAGCTTCAGACCTGAGATCCTATGGCTCCTGACTTGTCTGCTGAGCAAGGGTCTATGGCAGTGTCTTTCAAACCTGCCTCCAAAACTTCACTGTCTGCCTTTGGCCATGGCTTCCCCAAACCCACTGGAATAACATCAAGAAGAAAAACAAAGGAGCAAAACATGCTACATGTTAGAAATAATTATTCTACTGAGGACCACCAAACAATTTGATACCAACCTTCACACTTTCCAACCATATTCATGGCCACTGGACACCACCTCTTCAACTAAGGATAAGAATGTATTTGGGAAAAAAAAAGTGTGTGGCTAAAACATTGGCTCAGCCACTTGAGCTCTAAATCTGCTGTGGCCTCAGAGAGGTCATGGGCCACGAAGCAAAACCTGAAAGGGTCTTTGTGTTGCTTTGATGTGGTAGGAATTACCTTATATTCAGCAAGCACTGAGACTGGGGATAAAAATAGTTAATTTAAGGCCATATTACCCCATACCTCTTTGGTTTTGCTGTAAGCACTGGTCATCAGTATTAAACAATCTGTACTGCCATAGTTTAGGGATATGATGTTATAGCTGCAAAGTGCTACTGGTACTAATGAGAAGTTATATGCTACATACAAGACAAGTACCTGTAGCTGCAGTTTTCTACCTGGACATGTGGTCCCTTATCCACTTCTTCAGTACTGGGGTCTCGCAGGTAGGCTGGAGGGCGTTCCCAACTTCAAGGAAGTTCCCTCCCTCTGCTCATTTCTCCTTCCTGGCTTCTGCCAGAGCCCAGTTCATGTGATTCATTAAGGGAAAGCAAGACACAAAGTAAATTCATATCCACACTCTCAGTCCTTTCACAATACCCTGAAGTGAGCTATAGGGTTGCCTTTAGGGTCAGGAAATTGTTTCAGAGGATTTATGCTGACTTTTCTCAAATGTTCATATGCAGCTGTGTAAGCGACTGTTATATCAAGGCACCTTGATGGCCCATGAAGGGATCCCTTCCAGCAGGCAGATGAGAGGGTCCTTCAGCACAGAGCAATGATCCAGTCCGCTGGGTCTGTATAACACTGTTTTAAAGGCCCACCACTGAAAGTGCCCTGAGAAAATAGCATCAGAGGCAAGTGAGGAACAGCACAGGGGAGAAAACATGAACAGGAAGGACTGCCTTGATACTGAAAATATGGAAGAAACAATAAAGAGAGGAGGGAAAAGAAATAAAATACAAGCAGATTACTAAAATGCACAGTAATGTCAGTAAAATCTCCTACCCTTCACCTATACTAATTTTGTTCCAGTATTTCCTCTCATGTCTTACAAAGATTTGCCAGTTTTACACTCAGAGGGAAAAAAAAAATGAATAGAAGCTATTTCTTCCCCAGTGAAGGGAGTGTTCTAAACTTTGATGGACTTGGATTCTTCTAATTTCTTTTTTTATTATTATTCTTTCTTTTGGGTTCATACGCATGATGTTTATCTCATCCATGTATGGGAAGAGGGGGAGGAATGGGTAGGCTTGACTAGTGCTAACTGTTGACAACAGTTGTTTAATTTTTTGCAGCACGCACCCAAGTATCATGAGACTGAGTAAAATATAAATAAATATGCTCTTTGGAAACCCTATACATTTTTATGGCCTACAATACCTTCAAATCATGGAAAAACACATGTTTGTTTGTTTTTTTAAAAAAGATTTTGGTGGCAATGCTACTTCCCACTGCTGTAAACAAGGTCAGGAGGCCAAAATTAGTCTGTCCTATTTTGCACAAAATAGTCAACAACTTAAGATGTTTTTGCAATAATCAGAAAATTATTGACCGGTGTCAACACCCCCTTTCTGATAAACTGTTGAAATGTTAATATTCTTGGCAAAATTGTTTTTGCTCTAATTACTGTATCCATCTGCTCTATAAGATTGATTATACTGTGAGAATGTTTGTTCTCTTGTCTCCTGCAATGATGGGCCTCTCCTTGGCTCAGAAATAGTCCTGCCTCATCTTTACACAGAGACAAATGTGCAGCAGAAATCAAACCAACACTCAGCTCCAATGAAGTTGGATAAAAATTCCTTGAAGGAGTTAATACAGTAGATATCAACTGTCTCTTGGATGGACTGTCCTTTGGAAAACTATTGCCCTGGCCCAGATGAAAATAGCTGGCCTCCATTCAGCATGGATATCAGTGACCAGGAAGGCCACCAAATATCTGGGAGCTCACAAATACTGGCATATCAGCAGCATTACTGATTCAGCTGAGGAGAAGTTTGGCTAGTTGGCAATGCCAGGCCCCCTCTACAAGAGCTCCTTGGCAATGAGCAGCTGAGTTGTCCGAGGAGCAGAGCGTTTCCTGTCCTATCTTCCATCAACACCTGCAAAGGCTAATGTTACCTGGATTGGATTGGTTATTTCTGGAGCCAGCATGTAATATATGTGCTAGCTATGGCACATGCCAATAAAGACCCAGTAAATGTGATGTCAGGTATTAATCATTATTAAAGCTGATTAAACCAAAACACAACAAAAACCCTAAAACCAGTGGAAAAATAATTGCTTTGTTGGAAAAATACTGTTGTCCCATGGGAAGGGGAGGAATTAAAAATTGCATTTGATTTTGTACTAGTCTTTCAAAATACATGCACAAAAAAGTCATGTCAACTCAAAAAAAATTATTTTCTTTGAGCATTCTTGCACAGCAGCTGAACTTTTTCATTGGAATATGACGCTTTTCTCACACATAAAGTAAATTTCAGCAAAAATATTCCTTTTAGAAATAAAATTTTCAGATAAAAAAAGAAAAAGCAGATATTATTTTCCAGATACTGAACTGTGTTGTCATGTCTCAAGCATTCAAAAGTCACTGAGACTTGGGCTGAGATTGTTTTCAGCTTTTCATTTTAAAAAAGATTTAGTGTCTTTGTAAAAATCTTCCAGATTCTTGACTCCATAGTGTGCATTCAGTGCATATACTTATCCTTGTAGAAAGAAGCTTAAAGGCTAGAAACTTTCAAAAAGGAAGAAGGACTTTTTAGGTATTGGAGGGCTGACTTTTTCACAGTTTTAAATTCATGACGTATGAGTACATCTAAGTTTTCTGGAACTGTAATGCAGCCTGAAGAGCATCTGCACCTTCATCTTAACCCTTCATTTGTGCCAGCAGGGAGTATTAAGTTCTAATCAACTAACACAGCCTGCTTCCAGTGTCTCAGCTACTGTATCATGCAGGAACACTTTCAGAAGAGTTTAAGAGAGAAGGGGGAAAAGACTAACGAAAATATTGTTACTAGATTTATTGGACATAGTGTGGGAGAATGAGGTTTTTAAGTGAAACTCCTCTTCAGAAAAAGGTATTGTATGCCCTCATCCTTAATGTGCTGTTACACTATTTAGCGATTTATGTTTTTTACACAAGAAAAAAGTTTCAGTGGAGAGAAGGTGACTGCAGTCCAGCCTTGACATAATACCCCTCTCTTGTCTTCTTCTGGGCTTACCTTCTCCTCCCATTTCTTGCAGCAGTTTCCAACGTTAAGAGCCAGCACAATGCCATATCACTGCTTCCATTGCCCGAGCATGAGAAATGCAGGAGAACCTCCTATAGGAGAAATGTAGTAGAAGTTTCTGCAGACTTCTTGCTTCAAATAGAGTTTCTCAGGCCTGGGTATCAAGTACCTAAGACTTCAATTCTGCTAGCACTCCCTCATGTCTTTGTGTTTGGCGACCACCATTTAAAGGACTTTCCACCTGGAAAAGACAGATTTTGGCTACTGACAAAGCCAGGCAGTAACAAGACTCCTTTCAAGATGAGCAAAGTTGTAGTTAGGTACCCAGGAGATATAAATCCGGGGTAGCTTATGCTGAAACCAGAAGGGATTTCAAAAAAAATGTTGAGCTGACATCTCCTTTTAATTAAAAAAAAAAAAAAAAAAAAAAAAAAAAGAACAACCAAGAAACAAAAACCTTTTTCGAGGTGTTTTTCATTCTAAATTGGTTTAATCATAGCAGTCATAAAAGGACAGATCTGATTCTAGCAAACATCATGGTAAATATATCACAGAAACTTTTGGCATGAAGATCTCT